TTTTTACACTCTGTTTTTTAAAAAAGCGACCAACGTTGGTCGCAAATTTTGTGATACCAATGTGTATTGACTATTTTGACCAAAAATAGCGACCAAAGTTGGTCGCCAATTTCTGACCGTTTGACCACAATGGCGACCAACATTGGTCGCTATATCTTTAATTTATTTTAATTCAATTAATATATATAGGTAGGAATATAAGCTATATTCGATACGCTATTACCTAATACACTTATACTAGTGCATAATTATAGCGTAAGTACATATATTATATATATATAAGCTATATTCGATACGGTATTACCTAATACACTATACTTAGTGCATAATATAGCGTAAGTACATATATAATATATATATGAGCTATATTCGATGCGGTATTACCTAATACACTTATACTTAGTGCATAATATAGCGTAAGTACATATATTATATATATATGAGCTATATTCGATACGGTATTACCTAATACACTTATACTTAGTGCATAATATAGCGTAAGTACATATATTATATATATAAGCTATATTCGATACGGTATTACCTAATACACTTATACTTAGTGCATAGTATAGCGTAAGTACATATATTATATATATATATATATATATATATATATATATATATATATATATATATATATAAAAGCTATATTCGATACGCTATTACCTAATACACTTATACTTAGTGCATAATATAGCGTAAGTATATATATATATTATATATATATATATAAGCTATATTCTATACAGTATTACCTAATACACTTATACTTAGTGCATAGTATAGCGTAAGTACATATATTATATATATATATATATAAGCTATATTCGATACGCTATTACCTAATACACTTATACTTAGTGCATAATATAGCGTAAGTATATATATTATATATATATAAGCTATATTCGATACAGTATTACCTAATACACTTATACTTAGTAAATAGTATAGCGTAAGTACATATATTATATATATAAGCTATATTCGATACGCTATTACCTAATACACTTATACTTAGTGCATAATATAGCGTAAGTACATATATTATATATATGAGCTATATTCGATACGGTATCACCTAATACACTTATACTTAGTGTGTAATATAGCGTAAGTACATATATTATATATATATATATATATATAAGCTATATTCGATACGCTATTACCTAATACACTTATACTTAGTGCATAATATAGCGTAAGTATATATATTATATATATATAAGTTATATTCGATGCAGTATTACCTAATACACTTATACTTAGTGCATAGTATAGCGTAAGTACATATATTATATATATATAAGCTATATTCGATACGCTATTACCTAATACACTTATACTTAGTGCATAGTATAGCGTAAGTACATATATTATATATATATAAGCTATATTCGATACGCTATTACCTAATCACTTATACTTAGTGCATAATATAGCGTAAGTATATATATATTATATATATAGACACACACGCCCACTTCGTAGTACTATTCATCCCTTGTATTACAAAAGTATTAACGACTTACATTTATATTATTTACTCTATATTATTTACATAGTAAATATAAAAGTGATTTTTAATTTTGACCATATAGAGACCAACTTTGGTCGCTAACTGTAAATGAATTTAATTTAGGGACCAAAGTTGGTCACTAACTGTACATGAATTTAATTTTAGCGACCAAGTTTGGTCACTAAATTTTAATCAGATTTATTTAATTTTATATAAATATTTAAATTAATAATAAAAAATTATTAAATGTTAGAAACTTGAGTTCCCACATTTGCGACCAACATGGTCTCTATTGGTTAAGCGACCAACTTTGGTCGCCTAACTTTTGAATTATATTTATTATATTTTATAATTTATTTAAATAAATATATATTTATTAAATAAATATAATTACTGGGTCCCGCTTAGCGACCAATGTTGGTCGCTATCAACTTATCCTTCATTTAGCAACCAACTTTGGTCGCAAGTTTTAAATTATATATATTTATATTTTATAAGTTTTATAAAATAATAATAAAATTATTAAAAAAATTTATGTGGGTCCCGCTTAAGCGACCAACATTGGTCGCTAATCTCAGTATATCTTTGACCAAACAAGTCAGACCAGTCCAGTCAACAGTTTGACTAAATTTGCGACCAAATAGCGTCCAACTTTGGTCGCTAAAGTATTTCAAATATTTTTTTTATTATTTTCGGCAGTTTGGCGACCAACTTTGGTCGCTTTTTTTGACAGACCAAATTTGGTCGCTAATCTTTGGTCGCTTTTTACAGGGATTCTAGTAGTGCTCGCTATCTCCGTGAAAATCATCGACTGGAATAGTCAACAGCCGCTACCGTGCTCTGAGATACCTAGATCTGCACACAAGGTGCAAGGGGTAAGTGAGTACACCAACTCAGTAAGTAACAAGTCCAAGCTATGGACTGACAGGTAGTGACGAGCCATACCTCAACAGGTAACACGATTAAACTGCACAGTAAAGTAGGCATGCTGGCAATTCAATATTTTTAACTTGACAGTAAAGAAAAGTGTTAATCCGAACAATGCGAAATATAAAGCTCAGTAAGACTCTACATGTCAATGCCAGAAATGTATGAAAATGCACTGTGTGCGGGACTCTCAAGTGCTCAACCACTCGGTACCGCATATGGCCATCCGGCCCAGGGAAATACATTCCGGAATATATATATATATTATATATATATTATATATATATAATATATATATATATATATATATATATAATATATATATATATACAACACTAAACTCAAGTCAACTGGTATCGAGGAACAAGGGTAATCCAACTCTGAGGAAAAATCCATCTCCAGGTATCAGTACTTCGGACAAATCCATGTCCAGGGAAATCCATCCCTCTTAATATCAACTACGCTCACTGGGGGTGTGTAGACTCCGGAAGGGCTCCTTTCATCCCAAGCGCTATACAAGCCAACGAAGGCATAATCATTATTCCGCTGCGGCGTGCAGCCCGATCCCATACTTTTGCTCATAATCAAGCTCACGGCCTCACTCAGTCGTAACTCTCCAGTCTCACACACGGGCTCACAATACCAAGAAGCTAGCCCGAAATAATGATATGATGTGCCAAATAACAATAACCGAGACTGAGACATGATATAATATGCATGAACAAGACTGAGCATAGAATATCTATGAAGCTAATGATATGACAGCAAGAAACGACCTCTCTGGTCTCAAGAGTATCGGCGTGAAGCCCTAACATGATAATTAGCATAATTTACAGCTCATTAACTTAATCACATAATCACTACATAGGTATCAGCAAGAAAGAGTCACTAAGCGGTGGCATGGGATGATCCAGGCCACAATCTTCACGGTGTACGCCCAAACGCCCGTCACTTGGCATTTGCGTCACCTCAATATTTAATCATAGAACACATAGCTCGGGGTTTTGAACCCTCAGAACCAAGTTTATAAGCGTTACTTACCTCAAACCAAGCCAAATTCTAACTCGCGATGCCCTTGCCTCTAGATCCGGCCTCCAAATGCTCTGAATCTAACCAAAATCAGTATATTATCATCAATACACGCTAAAGGAATGAAACCCATACGAAAATTATCAAATTAGACCTAAAATCCAGAATTTGCTCCAACCCGGCCTCCGGGCCCACGTCTCGAAATCCAACAAAAATTACAAAACTAGAAACTCCTTCCACTCCCCAGTCTATACATATCAAAATTATCAAAATCGGACCTCAAATGGTCCCTCAATTCCCCAATTTAAACTCTCCAATTTCAAGTCCTAATCTCCCAAATTTATTTCTTAATTTTCACTATTACCATGATTAAACAATGGAGAAATTGTCATAAACACAAGTATTAAAGCTTAAGTAGCTTACCCCACTGAAAAACCTTGATTCCCTCCTGAAACCACAACCCTAAGCTCCAAGCTCGTCCAAAAAAGGTGAAGAAATGGCAGGAATTCGCGAAGAAGGCCTTATATACTTTCTGCCCAGCGTTTTTCGCATCTGCGGTCACCAAGTCGCTTCTGCGATGCCGCATATGCGGAAAAACCATCGCAGGTGCGGTTTTCACTTAACCCGGAAAAACCCGCTGCTGCGGTCTCGCAGGTGCGGTCCTTTGCGCGCACCTGTGGATTTGCCTCAACTCCCAATCCTCCACATCTGTGGCCTCCTCTTGCCTCTACGGCTTTGCACCTGCGGTCCCCAATCCGCAGGTGCGGAAATGACAGAAGCAGCAGCTTCAGCTGCTCAAACCAATTTTCAATCTTTTCGTTAACCATCTGAATTCATCTCGAGGCCCTCGGGAGCCCAACCAAAAATACCAACAAGTCACATATCACCATTCAAACGTATTCCAACCTTCGGAGCACTCAAAACAATATCACAACTCCAAATCACCCTCGGATTCAAGCCTAAGGATTTCCAAACTTCCGAATTCCGCAAACGATGCAAAAACCTATCAAACTTCATCCGAATGACCTGAAATTTTGCACACACGTCACAAATGACACAAAGGACCTACTCCAATTTCCGGAATTCCATTCCGACCCCGATATCAAAATTTCCACTGCCGATCGGAAAATGTCAAATTTCCAATTTCGCCAATTCAAGCCTAAATCTACCACAGACCTCCAAATTACATTCCGAACACGCCCCTAAGTCCAAAATCACCTAACGAAGCTATCCGAACCATCAGAATTCACATCCGAGGCCTTCTACACATAAGTCAACATCCGGTTGACTTTTCCAACTTAAACTTCCAAGTAAAAGACTAAGTGTCTCATTCCACTCCAAGACCACTCCGAACAGAAAACAACCAACACGATACGATGAAATACAACTGAACAACACATAAAGAAACAGAAATGGGGGAAACGGGTTTGTAACTCATGAAACGAGCGGCCGGGTCGTTACAACTTACAAGTATATTCATATCCAAATGAGGAATAAGAGTATAGTCCAGTACAGTTAATGATTAAAGAATTTGGTGTTCAATTTTCAAAGACAATGAAGAATGGTAAGAATTTTGATTTGTATGCTTTCCTCTCCGGTTCCCTCAACAATATGAGCCGGTAGAAAAGGCTTTGTACATAAGTTTACAGCTCTTGCATAATTGCATTGCAAGAGGAAAAAATATATGCATAAATCAAAGAGAACTTCTAATCTAGCTAGTCTTTATAATGCTGCATCGCATATCTTCATCGCATCATAATTATAAAGTAGTGTTCAATTGAGAAGTGAGATGAAAAAAAGCATCCTCATTGCAGGGTAATGTGAGACCACCCATAGGATGTTGAAACCCAAACTCTTCCTCTGCTTTCCTAAGCAATTCCTGGAACGAAGCTTGGTTTAAGTATGCAATTGGAACTACATAACGTTTCTTCTCTGTCTCTCCCACGTAAACTGCAAAATGTCCTTTCGGAACATCTAAAATATGATTTCTTGAGTGCAATTTGTGGAATTGCTTGACACTGGAAAACTTAGAAGGCAAACGAATAATACCCATGACTTCTTGATAATACTGAATGTAATTGTAAGTATTTTTGTTGTTTGATGTGATTCTAATTGAACTGGAGTTTTCTGAGATTGAAAGGACTTAGCTTGTTCTGAAGTTTGAAATAGAAAGGTTTATATTTATGTGAGGGAGACCCTACATCACATGGCTCTGCTGATTATATTTAGCCTCAATATTTTTTTTTTCTTTTTAAAAAAAAAAAAAACGCGGTACTCAATTTCTTGTGAAGACATCACTCTGAAGTGGTTAAGGAGCCCACTAGCTCGTTCCTATAAAGTTATTGCTTTCTAGGCTGCTTCCATTTGATCCAAAGTTAATTTGATTCCTCAGAAATAACGGAAATTTTTATAACGGATAAAACTCCGTCAGGCAGCTTATAAGCATGTTTGGCCAAGCTTCTTCTTGCCCAAAAATATTTTTTTCCGAAATTTAGGTGTTTGACTAAGTTTTTAAAGAGAACAAAAAGTATTTTTGAGTAGTAGTGAAAGCACTTGTTAAGAACCAGAAAAAATGCCTTTTTTTTCAATAAGTAATTAATTTTCCGAAAAGTACTTTTTTCAAAGCACTTTTGAGAAAAATACACTTAGAAGCACTTTTTAGAAGCTAGTTAAACACTAATTGCTGCTCAAACTCAAAAGTAATTTTCAAATAAATTAGTCAAATACAAATTGCTTCTGAGCAAAAGTAATATTTTGAAAAGCGCTTTCATAAATAAGCTGATTTTGGAAGCTTGGCCAAACATGATTTCTTTACAATGATTAGCTGCATTACTTCAAATTTTTTATTTACCTTTAATGAGATCATTTATAACTACACAAATATTAAAAATTATTTTTATCATAAATTTAAAAGAAAATATTCCTAACTTCGTGTCTAATTAAACTTCAATCATATAAAATGAGATAGAGGGAGTAGCTACTATCTTGTTAACTGCCTCACTTATTATTGACGGTTATCCAAAAGTAAAAAAAGTTTGTTTAGACCGCAAGTGTGTAGAAGTTTAATTCATAAAATGTGGATAACGGTGCCGTCATTCGGCCATTATTTTGGTATGCTTTGTTGGTGATAACGGTGCCGTCATTCAGCCATTATTTCCAACTTGGACATGGTTTCATCCCATATTAATGTTTGTGTCCTAAACATGACTAAACATGAAATAACATCTCCGGCCCCCGTTACAATTTTTGTGAGAGAATAATGTTAAAATAATTCGTCTTTTTTTTCTTTCTAATCAAGTTGCAAGTCGCATAATACTTATAGCTCATTTCTTCTCAACGCGGTTCTCTACAAATATTGGTTTTACTTGTATTATTTGAAGTACATTTTGTTGTAAAATATGCAGTTACATTGCTAGAAATCCGGTAATTAGCGATCAAAAAAACCGACCAACTTTGGTCGGTTATGGCCTATTACCGACCAAAATGCGACCAAATACGCTTGGACGGTATTTTGGTGGTCGCTTTAGTATACCGACCAAAGTTGGTCGGAAATTACTGACCAACATTGGTCGGTAAATTAAATTCAAAAAAAAAAATATTGCAAAAACAAAAACGGACCAAGTTGGTCGGTTTTTTCCGACCAAAGTTGGTCGGTATTTTAATTATGTAATCAAAAAATTCACCGTCTGGGAATCGAATCGGGGTGTGTACTGTGGCAGGATACTATTCTACCACTAGACTATTGGTGCATTTTGTTTTAAGATTATCTTTTTTATTTATTTATACTCTTTAATTGTATTTTCGCACGAAAATAACCGACCAAAGTTGGTCGGTTTTATTAAAAAATAAAATTACCGACCAAAGTTGGTCGATTTTTTAAAATGACCGGCCGAATTTACCGACCAAAGTTGGTCGGTTTTTTTAATATTAATTTTTATTTATTTTAATTGCAAAAACCGGCCAAAGTTGGTCGGTTTCTTAAAAAATATTTCGCGGGACTCAAAAATAGTTTCCCGCATTTTTGCGCTAAAGAAAACTGACCAATGTTGGTCGGTTTCGTAAAAAAAAGATTTAAAATTAAAATATTTTGAAAAACCGACCAACTTTGATCGGCTTTTGGACGGTTTTTTTACCGACCAAAGTTGATCGATTTTTGCCGAATTTCTAATAGTGTCATTGTCATCATTTGAAGATTATTTTTTCTTTTCGACTATAAACTCGTTCGTGCCCCCAACCTCTAAAGTTATATTGTTTAAAAAAGCATTTCCTCTGCGAATAATAATTGCTCATATGCATGTGACTTGGCATAATGTAGAGCCGTTATTTCCACTTCCGGTAATATCGTAACATGAATTCCCCTTCAGGTATTTTTAATTGCGACTTGCATCAAACATTATTCTAATAGATTGCCCATTTATATAATTGTATAATGGATGCTATATGGTCAAGAGTTGATTGCATTATGTTTGTTATCGAACATAAAATTTGGAATGAACTTGACTTGTAACAGAAAGGAGTGAAAATAATTCCTAAATGTGAACAAATTAAACACGAACTTCGTACTTATAAATTGAAACAAACAACCCAAGGATTTAGCAGAAAATTGAAAAATTGATTAAAGAATATCTTAAATATAAAGTACCAATATTAATACCTGTATGTATGTATTATTTGACCGCGTATATAAAATTTTAAATTAACGAAGCATATTATTCCGCATTGAGTTACTGTGAAGTAGTTGCTGGAAGGAAATGAAAACGAACCATCCATTACCAATCTAGCTACTTGCTAGGGCAATAAATATTCTATACAATTTGTTATAGTTTCCCTTTTCTAAATAATTTTTAAAAATAAATACAAACTTTATGATTGTGTGAAAGAGAAAAGCAGTTATCTTAACAACTCATATAGCAGTAGTTTGACAATTTCTTCTTAAAATTAATTGAAAGTACTATAGTTGTCAATATCGCAGAATCTCTGACTCATATCCAGATAATACAAATTAAAAAGTACTACAAATGATTGAAGGCGATTTTCCATCTGAACAGAATCAGCGTGACTTAGCGACTGAGAGTTATAGGATTAACAATAATTATTATCATTAAAGAAAAGAGTTTGTGTAAAGAATTCTTTATACTATACGGTCACCCAAAAGATAACTAAAGGTAAGTCTTCTTAAATTTGTAATATAAAAAGTAAGGCATATTATATGTTACGGGTAAAGGTAATCTGACAATGTAAAAAAATCCTCACATAACACGGTATATATAACTTAAACTAAAGGAAAACAAAATAGAAAGAATATCCTGATGCGGACAAAGTCGACTTCATCTCCGTACAAATAAATAAATTAGCGTAAACAACCCCACCGATTTCATAAATTATTGCCAGTATGTTAGTAGGTCGTTAACGACGTTGTAAAGTAGGTACATATTATATTAATTAATCAAATGTATGTTTCTTTACACTGCTTTTCCACCGCAAATAAAAAAAAAACCAAAAAGGAAAATCCAGCCATGCATGCAGAAGCAGTCTTGAGTTTTGCTGTTGCCCCAGAACTGGAGAGTGAAGCTAGAGGAACTGGAGATTATTGGTGGCACAACACATTTATTGCTAAGAAACTCATCTTTTATCCATCTTTTAATTGGCAACCGAGTATTCTAGGGTCAAAGTTTTTAAATATGGAGTCCATTACTTAATTAAATGATCACCTAACTATTCAAAATTCTGGATTAAAATCACTTTTCTTTCGTTTATAATAGGAAAATCACTCGACTATTCCTATTGCACACAGATGGTCACTCAGCCGAAATTATCAAATTTGTCGACTTGTGACATGGTGTCACACCTCCTTTTTACACACCTACCCCAAAGGATAAATGTATAAGGGAGTTTTTTCATTTAAAGTGACATTATTCGAAATGGGATTATTTATTTATTTTTAGAGTCGCCACTTGGGAAAGGATTGGCTTTTGGTGTCCCAAGTCACCGATTTAATTTAAATCCCAAATCGAGGAAAAATTCGACTTCCCAATTGGAGTCTGCGAACCAGAAATGCTGAATAAGGAATTCTGTTGACCCGAGGGAAGGTGTTAGGCACCCCCGGATCCCGTGGTTCTAGCACAGTCGCTTAAATCATTATAAATGGCTAAAAATCTGGTTTTATACATGTCATCCTATAGTGCAATTTTATAATTATTTACCGCTTTTAACTAATTTTTAGGAAAGTGAACGTTGTTTAAAAACGTGTTTTCGGATCACGTCACATGAAATGTACTCGGATCCTCGACACATTCTTATTCAACGTTTTGGGATTTGGATTTGGGTTGCATGAAATGCACAACCGTATTTAGGAAGGTAAAATTATTAAAAGTGCGCCTAAAGTGACTAACGTATTATTATCTTTGCGAGAGGCCGTGAAATTCGCTAAGCGGCACGTCCCGAATTCTAAGTATTTTGATATAAGCATTTAATGAGGGCCCCGCAATTTGTGCATTTTTGTTTGGCGAGGCTCGTCTCATTTTTATTATTTAAAGGCCAACCTAAAGCAAACTAAAATTTTCTATTTTTTCTCTTGTCTCTAAAGAATCCTAATTAATTAATTTTATCAATTGCTATTATTTAAAGCGATCGAGGAATTTGAGCCTCAAGTTCGAGTCCACACTTGAGCAAAAGGAAACACCTCTTAACTCAAGTGGGCCATTCAACTCAAGGGCACCAAAGACCTATGATTAAAAGATGGAATTTTAACAAATCATACTTTGATTGCAGAAGGTTAAGCAGCCTGGGCCTATGATGAGCCCACTATCAGACGCCAAACGCTGGGTCTAATCTTAAGAAGCAACTAACTTTGAAATTGATTCTGTTAATACAAACTCAGATTGACGAGACACAATCAGTTATGCTAGTGATCCAACATATCATTCTATATTATTCCCATTTAATCCTCATGTTCATATGATATCAATTTGACCTTCTGTTGACATGTTCATAACAATCAACTATCTAATTGTTGCTTACAAGTGGAAATATATGATTTCAAAGGCAATTCTAGGTTCAGAACACTTTTGAATCTAAACTAACACAAGGAATTGACTTATATTACATTAAGGCTCATGTTAGAATAAAACCAAGGTTAAGCTATACTAGGTAATTAATTACACATCGATTAACTTAACTATGATC